GAGGGAGGGAGGGGAGGGAGGGAGAGGCAGAAATGAGGATGCAATGCAGACTACGGTTGAAATGCGATACAGACACAGGTGAACCCAAAAACCATCCGGTTCGGTGGAACCCTGCCGGGCTCCTGCGCCGCACCCCGCTTGCTGGAATCGGTGGAACCCCGCCCCGGCCCGTGGCCCGATAAAACCCCGTCAGCACATCCCGTATCGCGACCCCTGTATCGCAAAGGCCCCACCCTAGCCCGCCGCACCCCTCCAGTGAACCCCTCACCGGTTTCACGCCCACACGCCGCGCCACACCCCTTTTCGCGACCCATTCGGTGGAACCGCGTCACGTGGTGCTGCCCACCCGCCCGCCACACCCCGTATCGCGACCTGCTCGCTGGAACCCCTCCGATTCTGCCACGTCGCACCCCAAGCCTTGGACGCCGAAGACTCTAAACGCTCGTGCTCCCGCGCCGCACCCCGTACCGCGGCCCACGTGGCTGGAAAACCGAGAAGAGGCTGGAAAACCTAGAGGAGAACCCAACCCGCGAGGGTTTTGGGGAAAAGGCTTTGACAAACAGATAATCAAGGAGATAGGCCCAGCTTTCGACAGTGTGTGTTGGAAAGAAGAAAACCATGGGGTCATAAACGAGATGCATACAGGATCACACGTTCGCCACATACAGTCCGGGAGCGGGTAACAGAAGCCGTGAGCAGTTCGGTAAGTGTGCATGGGCTGTACGAGCAAGCAGAAGATGAAGCTCAAGGCGAAAATGGTTAAAGGCTCCACTGCCAATCAACATAAGACAACACAATGTCGGGCCAAATTCCTGTAAAAACAGACACAAGAGAACGATATATAGCAGCATAGCCTAAGAACAGATCCGAAGATACAAGGCAAGGTTAAAATACATGCAGTTTACGAATGCAGCTGGGCTGCTCCTGCGCCTTGGGGGTTGATCCAAACGAGCTGAAAGGGTCATCACCTCTGATGCGTGCAAATGCTGGCGCCCAAACCATGGAGAAGGCTCTCAACGATGAGATCATGGCTGCAGCATTCTTAGGATCGCGCTCAACTTCTGAAATCCCGACCCTGCGAGCATGCACGGGTTTGACGCTGGAAACATCAACACCACGACACCTTGTCGGGGTAGCATGACTTGCAGAATAAGCCTCGGGGTGCCTTAATTGAGATGAAATGCTGCCAACTCCCCTATGAGCCTTGCTGCTGAACTTGACCAGGCTGCACCATCTGGCCTTGAGCCTCCGCACTCCCAACAACATAAATGACCGTCCAGATCTCCCACAAAACAACACAGGGCCTGATTTACCACATTGTTTATCTGGCCAAACGGGCTGTTGCTCCTCAGGACATGCACACACAGATACAATGATTGCTGAGTCTCACGATGGAATCAAACAAAGACTCACACTTCGAGGCAGTGGCATGCCATTGCTGCTGTATGACACATCACCAAAACTGAATTTGAGTCTCCGCGGCTCCTGTGAAGCAGTGATTCGAAGCTTTGTGCAAGCACGCGTAAAGTTAGCAAAATGCGCGAATGCCTGTGCCGCCGTGACAACCTGAGCGGAAGAAGCATGAGAAGAGTCAGATGCAACGACGACGAGATATGCCAAGCCCAAAACGAGAAGGGCCAGATATCTCAAGGCCATGGTCGCACCCTGGGCATGCACTCATCATACGCAACCAAGAAGCGGAATTTGTGCATGCAGACCTGCTCAAAAGGAAACACTTCAGTGTCGATAAGCTTGTCAACATGACACGAGATAAGCCAAAGCCCAAAGGCTCCGAAGGCTTAACGCGACAAAAGCATGTGCAAGCACCCGGTACATGCACAGACATCCGGAAATCCTGTTTCCAACCCAAACACGAGAGATGCTTCTGCCCGACAACCAAAAGACGATTCCCTGGTGCCGAGGCAGCTGCTCTGCTCATGATCCGTTCAAGGTTTGTAAAGATCACCCTGGAACTTCGCAGTCACTCTGGAGCCGAAATGTAGCGAAATGTGTTTCCATAGTCTCAACTCGGCCTTTCAGTATGACTGCCTCAGACACACTCTCCCAAGCCAGATCAGGGGCTTGCTTTGCATTCACTGATTGTGCTAAAACTCGACTCAGACGCGTTTGCCAATGTCCAGCTTGCTGCCCTTCCCTCATCATCACCTCCTGTTGCTATCTGTCTAGTTATTTCTAACTATTACAGTTGTTACGATTTTGCATTCAGGGTCTTATGGTTGAAGGTTTTGGGTCCAAGGCTGTACAGTCATAGTTTGGGCTCACAAATCAAAAAACAACCGAGAATACCCCTCATCAGTGGCGAGAATACACATCAGTAGATACTGACCCCGATGAAGACACGGCTTTTAGTCTTCATCCCAAATGGTCGATTTCCTAATTGGCAGCGAATCATAAAAATGCCATTGTCTTGTCCCCGCTGCACTGGCGCCCATTCTGTGGAAGCCTTCCCGGAAATATTCGATTTCTGTCTAGGCCGCTGGTATTAAACTGCTATTGTCCTGTCACTGCTG